GGTGCATGCCCTCAGCAGGAATCGAACCCAGGACTCTGGTCCGCAGGCCGACGCCCTAACCGCTGAGCCAAACTGACCAGGGCCAGTTTTATATTCTTTTTGTGGGAGGATGGGAGCAGAAGGGATTGAGGCCCCAGCAGCCCAGCTCAGTTCAGAATCGCAGAGGTGGTGCTTCGGGGTGATGAATGCCTCCAGTATTGCCATCCCCAGGAAACGGAGAGGGGCTGAAGCACGGCTGTCTTCTGAAAATCATGGTATTTTTAGCTCCAGAACAGTTTAGAGCAGATTTAAATGCACAGTGGATAATGATAACTTCCACAGCCGAGCGATCTCAGAAGACATCTGCTCGGATGCTGTTCAAACATGACCTGACTGGCTCAGTGTGTTTATTTTCCTTTTGACAGTGATAAGTGGTGGAAGGCGACAGCGAGGATTTTAAGATTCATTGTGAGATGATTAAACTGGGTTGGGGCTCAGGGGCCCTCCGAAGGGTTTACCCCGCAGTAGTCCCCTGATCCACCCTTCCCACCCTGGGGAGGTTACATGTCTAGTGGAAACTGAGGTGGTCTCGACCTGTGTGCCCCGCGGTGGAGGGGCCGGGAGAGTGGCCGGAACCCCAGGCCTTTTCCTGAGTGCAGTGATGGGAAAGGTCAGAAGCGCAGCTTTGGAGCCTAGGGCTCCTTACAGCTCCTGCTTGTATGCTTCCAGTGACTGACAGCTCACTCCTTTGTCTCTAAGTCTTTTCTGTTGGGTGGGGACAGCTCTTCCTGTTATAAAGTTCTTATCCTGACTCCGAGGTGGCCTCTGTGCCTTTCACCCTCGGGCCCTAGAGCAATGTGGTGTGATCTGCTCGCTGGAGAGGACTTGGGAGCCAGGCCCCTGGGTCGGAAACCCAGCTCCGCAGGTCCTGGCTGTGGGACCTTGGGCAGGCTACATACCCTGTGTGCTTGCCTTGTAGGAACGCTGTGAAGATTAAATGCATTAATAATATATGAAGCATTTAGAACAGTTCCCTAAGGTTAAGTTTTATAGTTATTTTTATTTCCCCCATAAATCTTATCTCCTCCTAAGCCTCTCCCTTTTCCTTCCCAAGCCTCCACGCAAGCCAGGCAGGCACTCCCTTTGACATCTCATCAAAGAGGTTCAGGAAGGTCTCTGACCGAGGGAGGAGTGGGTGGCCAGGCCCGGGGCGCCGCAGCGTGGAAGCGGCCAGGCCCGGGGTGCCGCAGCGTGGAAGCGGCCAGGCACAGGGGAGAGTGGGGCTTTGGCCCCAAACCCTAGGAGCACATCCCAACTGGATCACTCACCAGCAAGGTGTTCTCAACCAGCCACTGAACCGTCCAAGCCAGCCAGAGGATAGGTACACACTCAGAATTCCAGTGAGACAGTGTGCTTTGAGCCTGGTGTGGCTCACGTGGTCACTTACTAAAGAACCCCTGTCACCTCTGTGTATAGGAACCTCTTGTTGAACCAAAGGCCCTGCTATCTCCCATTCAGATCATAGACGTTTCCTGGAGTTGGCTTGTCAGGTAACCTTTAGAAGGGGTCATGGTGATGAAGGGGGACACAGGGACACAGTCCAGGAGGCATCAGAGAGCAGTCTCATCAGTCTGACCATTTGGATCCTAGGCCTCATCGCATCGTCTTGGTAACAGTAATGAAACACTGGACTCTGAGTCTCTGCCCAGCACCGCAGCTAGAAGGTCTGCAGCTCCAGGGGGCTCAGCCGCTCATCCCCTCTGGGCAGAGCTGCAGACCCAGAGCCCATCTCGCCCCTCGGCACCTCTCAGGGCTCCTTCCTCACCGCCCCAACCCTGTCCTCTGCACAGTGCTGCTGGACGCCAAGTGCACCAAGCCGGGAGTTGGCTGCTGCCGCCCCTCGGTGCACACACAGCAGGCAGTTGGAGACGGATGACTGCTGTCAGGGGCTGATGAAACCTGCAGGGTGCACCCCCTGGGTGGCGGGAAGGGGTTGAGAGTTTGCAGGCGCAGGCAGAAGTTAGAACCTTCTGAGAACGTGTGCTCCCTGGTCAGGCTGTTAAGGCAGAAGACCCGAGTCCTCGTCCGCTCTGCCTGCGGTAGGAACCAGGGTCTGGCCTTCGTAGGGCGGAGGTGACCCAGTTGGAAGCCACTTCATTGGTCTGCTATAGCTCAGAACACAGACACTAGGACGCAGAAGTAGTGAATTTGTCTAAAACCCTCATGCATCCGCGTCAGCTTTGATTATTTTCAGAGAAGTTTTTCCTTCCTGTGTCGATAGCGACGAGAGGGATACCAGCAGCCACAGTGAATCAGTTATTGTTACCGAGGAAGAGAGGACACATTCGGGGCCCTTTCCATTCTGATCCCCGTTCTCCGGCCCCCTCCCGTGGCAGCACCTGTGGCCGCAGGGAGGGGGGTCTGTCTGCTGGAGGAAGACAGGCGTCAGGAGGGCTCTTCAGAAGTTTTTCATCTGAAGTGGCTTTGTGGCTTCGGCCTCCCGGTGAGCGAGAGCCGTGTCGAAGTGCCCGGTCTCTCTCCGGCGAGCCTGGCCACATCAGTGCTGTGTGTGAGGTGTTTTATCAAAACTGCACATCAGCCAGAGAAGACATTTTTCTTCCCCAGTTCGTTCCATTTCTCACCTCATCCCTCAGATTTAATAGGCCTGATATTCTAAGAAATGTTCTCTTTCATTAATAATCTTCCTTTTGGAGGAGAAAGATGCACTTATTTTTACTGAGTTCCCATTTCTTACCAACTAGCTTCATTTTTAATGTCTCTCAAGGCACAGAGCCGTGTATGTCACCAGATATTATAGGGAAATGCTGGTGTGGTCAGACGAGTCCAAATGCTCGCCTTTTTCCTGGCATCGAGTGTTCTGGTGAAGGAGCCTGTAAAGTGGCAAGGGGCAGGGGACCGGGCTCACCGGGTGTCCCGACCGAGTGTCCCCTGTGCTGCCACGTGGCATCGCCTGTCGCGTGTGGCTGTCTGACGTTACGTGTGATTGGAGGCCAGCTCAGATGCCGCCTCCTTTGTGCAGACTCCCCTCCCTGAAATGAAGCTGCGGCTCCCTCCGCGTCTCAGCACACTTTCGTCCTGTGTCCCTTGGGACGCTTTTCCCAGCTGTTGTCAACTCCCCGAGGAGGACCTCTGTGTCTGATTCTGCCTTTGCAGCTCCTCCGGGGGATACCCTGGCCGCCCCAGTACCGCCCTGCCCTCAGGCCCAGTCGGTGTAGGGCTTCCCACCCAGTGCTCAGCTGACGCACATGGCGTGAAGTGAAAGTCATGTTCAGTACCTCTTATGCAGCATCACTTTCTGCCGAGGATTAGTTATTTGTGCACACATTTTATTTTTCCTGTTAGGTTGGGGTTGGCAAACTTACTTCACTGGGGCCAGATAGAAATATTGTGGGTGCCTGGGCTGGTTTGGCCCGCGGACCAATGAGTTTCGGGTTTGATTCCAGCCAAGGTCAGGTACCTCGGTTGTGGTTTGTCCCCGGCCCTGGTTGGGGTTGTGCAGGAGGCAACCTTTTGATGTGTCTCTCTCACCTCCATCTCTCTCTCTCTCTCTCTCTTCCTCTCTCCCCACTCCCCACTCCCCACTCCCTCCCACTGTGCCTGAAAAGAAATGTAAAAATATCCTCTGGAGAGGACTAACACACTCACTCACTCACTCACTCACTCACTCACTCCCTCACTCCGTGGACTGCGTGATCTGTCCCAACAACTCAAATCTGTTAACAGCACAAAAGGAACCATAGACAGTAGCTAAGGGAACAACGTGCCTGAGTTCCAGTAACATTATTTATAAAACCAGGCAGTCGACCCTGTGCTGACCCCTACACTAGACGGTCAGCTTCTGGGGAAGCAGGTCCGGATCTGAGCTGCCTCGTGTGTAGCAGACGGAATGACCCCGCAGTTCCCTCCTAGATACGTACCCAAGACAAACGCCTGCACATGGTCACCAAAGGACATGTGCCCAGTGTCCTTAGAGCACCCTTTGTAATGGCCCCAGACTGGAAACTAGCCCAGTGCCAGTCAACAGAAGAATGGACAATAGACTGCACTGTGTTCACACTGTGGAATACAATACAGGAATGAAAAGAAATGTTCTGTGTGTAAAAATAGGGCTGACTTGCCAAACGTGTTGAATTTGAGACAAAGAAGCTGGACAGTTTGAAACAATTACATGCTGTGTGACTCTATTTATATAAAGTTTAAAGACAGGTAAAGCAGATCTGGCTGTCGTAAGTTACTGGTTACCTTTGATGGCGGGGCGTGGCTGGAGGGGGTCTGAAGGGGGGCTCTCTGGGGCCCTGGTTATGTTTTCTGTTTTTTTTTGTTTTTTTTATCCTCACCCGAGGATATTTTTTCCATTTTTGGTACAGATAGAATGGGAGGGAGAGAGAGGAAGGGAGAGACAGTGAGAAACATCGACGTGAAGGGACACATCGAGTGGCTGCCACCCGCACGACCAACCAGGGCCGGGGACAAACTGCAACCATGGTACATGCCCTTAGCGGGAACCGAACCCGGGTCTCTCCGGACCGCAGGCCGACGCTCTAACCGCTGAGCCAAAACGGCCAGGGCATGTTTTCTGTTTTTTGATCAGGGTGCTGGTTACATGGGTGTGTTCCATTTGTGAAAATTCAAGCTATACACTTAAGATTTGTGTACTTTCCTGTATGAATTTTATATTTAAATAAAGTACTTGATTTGAAAACAAACCCAAAAGGTAAAGCAGTTTATCCAAGCAGTATTTAACCAGAGACCACTATCAGCGTTCTCATTTTCTGGCTGATGATTGTCAGTTGCTGCCTCCTGCTGACCGCAGATCTGGGCTCCTGTCCTGGGATGGGAATACAGAAGCCTGGTCCCATCTTCATCTCCGTCACTCACGGTCAAGAGCAGAACCAGGGGTTGTGCGGGAACCAGTGGTCTGTCGGGGTCTCCCCGACCTTCCCCGGTCCTCACCTGCAGTGGGTGTCTGACGGTGTCCTGGCTTCCTTGTCTCCTCCCAGAACATCGTAGCGGTGGGAGCCGGGTTCTGCGATGGTCTCCACAGCGGAGACAACACCAAAGCCGCCGTCATCCGCCTGGGACTCATGGAGATGATCTCCTTCGCCAGGATCTTCTGCAAGGGCCAGGTGTCCACGGCCACCTTCCTGGAGAGCTGCGGCGTGGCCGACCTGATCACCACCTGCTACGGGGGCCGGAACCGCAAAGTCGCCGAGGCCTTTGCCAGGACAGGAAAGGTAGCCCCTGGCCTGCCCTCCCACACCCCTCCCTCCTGCTGGAGCCCTCTGGGCGGGGTGGGCTGCGATTCAGTGGAGGTGGAGGCCAGGGTTACCTGTCTGCCTTCACTCAGAGGTGCTTGAGCCTTAAGTCCTTTATGTTGTACATCTGCTGCTTTCCTGGGTGTGTCGCAGAGGCGTGCAGCTCCCCTTCCCCGCTCTCCTCTTGAAATAAGTGCTTTACCCTCGATTTAGTCTTTACCGTAGATTTTTTTCATCCTTTGTTTTTAAGACCATTGAAGAATTGGAGAAGGAGATGCTGAACGGGCAGAAGCTCCAAGGGCCTCAGACTTCGGCGGAAGTGTACCGCATCCTCAAGCAGAAGGGGCTGCTGGACAAGTGAGTCACCCGGTGCCCCGGGACCCGAGACTCGGTGTCGTCCCACCCTCGCGTGACCACCAGCCCAGTCCGTGCACACAGCGAGCACGTGTGGGCTAAGTGTGCCAGGACGTGATGAGGTTCGTTCTGCCGTGTGTGTGACGCGAACGTCGGTGCGGGAAGCGTCTGCCTGCCCTGGAAATGGGCGTCTGCACATACACACAGCCAGCCCAGCTGCAGGCAGAAGAGCTCCTTCTCCACGTCACAAGCAGGACGTTCAGGGTTCTGCATCGTGTGGTAAAAGCTACATGGTATAGGTTTTCAGTTTTTCAAGAAATGATTGTTGTTTTTATAGAAAGGCAGGGTCTTGTTGATAAACTGCCGAGCGATTCAGAAAGGAAGGGAAGGCTCGTTAGGCCGGAATTCCACCACCGCAGTGACCCGACCTGGGTGAAGGTCCGGTGGGCAGCCTTGCGGTCTGTCCTCGCGTGGACGGGTGCATGAAGCATCCAGCCTGCACTGCCCTTCCAGGCCGGTCACAGGGTAAAGGTGGGCCTGGGCCAGCTTGATTTGCCATCTGATCAAGGAAGTGAGCCCTGAAGCACCACAAAAGCTGCCCGACCTTCTCTGAGGCTGCTCCTGGTCCTTTATCTTGTTGATCCATTGAGCCTCGGATGGCAGCTCCGCCACCTCGTAACCGTGCAGCATGTCCTGTGTGTCCTTAACTCTCAGTAGTGCTTTTTGGGAGAGTGGGGGCTGGGCAGCTCTGGATGCTGCCAGGAGGTGGGTTCGGGCAGTGTGCCTCTGGTTGTGTCTCCTGCCTCCTCTCACACCAGCCCCGGCATCTGCTGGTCCCAGCCTGGCATCTGTACCTTACCGTGCAGATTGATCACCCATGGAATTCCCTAATGAAAATGGAAAGTGAGGGAGCACGGGGCATTTGTCTTCCTTCTTTCATTTGCATTTTGTTTTTCTGAAATGGCTTTCAAAACCAGCCAGGCAGGGATGGAAGTCATAAACAAGCCTCCAGAGGAGGAGAAGTACCTTTAAATCGTGCCTACGAGGAAGATACGTCCGACACGCACAGGTTCCTCCATCGTTAACAGCAGATGTGCGCGTGTGTGGCTGGCCTACTTTAATAACCATAGGTCTTTATCAGGAGTTTGTTCAACATCTTAAAAAAATATCTGGGTCTTTGGTGATGGTTAGTATCTCCCAATCACAATATTTTTTAAAAAACAGATGAGTGTTTATTCCAGTATTACCGGCGGTATGGAGAGCAGTGGGCCATCCCTGGAAAATCTGCTCTGAACGCCCTCCACAGCAGTTGCTTATATTGGGTAGCGACATGGGGAAGGGCAGGGAGGCAGAAAGGAGCACCAGTGGGTAGAAGGGTCACAGGGAGGTGAGGCAGGCTGGGGAGTGTGGCTGGGGTCTGGGAAGGGCTGTCTCCGGCACACCGCCTCCAGGACTCCAAGGTGGTTGTCTTTCCACCAGGAGGGGGCAGTTCTTGGATAAGGAGAAGGGGCCGCATTTGAGGTTGTGGTAAAATAGAGGTACAGGAACATCTTGCGCCTCCACACTTTTCTGTCTTGTCTTTGTGAGGGTTTTTCTGTGCAGTGCGAAGGAACGGGCCCATTTTCTCCACTCCCCCCCCCCCCCCCGCCCCATCACAGTTTTAAAGTGGGATCTGTGTGCTGCGAAGGGGAGTGGCTGACAGGGTTTAATGAAATCACAGGTTGGCCGGCAGTGCCCCTCGTTCCATTCTGGGAGGGTATGGCTGGCGCCAGCATCTGGGATCAGAACCTGCCTGCTTTAAAAAGCAGATGTAATCAAGCAGGTGAAACTCACCTCTGAGCAGAGCCTCTCCTCAATCATGCCCCATTTTCTTTCTTCTGATTGGAAATCGAACAGGCTGTGCCTGTGCGTAATGAGGTTTCCGGAGGGGGCACCCCCTTCTCCCGGGCTGGACCGTAGAGCCAGGTGGGACCCCCTCCCTGCACCTGCTCCCTGCCCGGCACAGGCAGGGCCGCGTTCTGCATTCTCCCTTTGCGCCGCCTCTTGCCTTGATTTCTTTTCTTTTTTATCCCACCCCCCCTACTCTGGCCTTCCTCTGTGTCCTTGTCTCCTCCCCCTCCGCGGCCATGGAAAGAGCAGTGGGCAGCAGGGCGGCATTCGGGGCTGTCTGTGTCTCACTAGCCATGTGGTCTTAGGCCCGTCGTATGTTTAGCTGTTCTGTGCGCCAGGCTCTTTATCCACAGAATCAACTGGTCGACCAGATGATTGCCACGGCCCCTTCTCCCTTGAGTGTTCAAAGGGCTCCTGCCCTTTCAGAATGAGGTCTGCAGTCCGTGGGTTGGCATTTGAGGCAGCCCCTCTCGATCCAGGCATACCTCGTTCTGTTGCCCTTGGGAGATGTTGACTTTTTCACACGTTGAAGGCAAGACCCTCCAGCGGTGAAAAGATGGATTTACTTGCTTTATTGCGATGCTTGCTTTCTTGCAGTGGTCTGGAGCTGAACCTGCAGTACTCTGAGGTATACCTGTACCAACTTACCTGTCTAATAGCATGCCCTGTTAGCCCCTACAGTAGCTTCCCTCTGCCCTAGACACCTCTTCCCAGACTCCTGCGTACGCTTGTCCTGCTGTTTGGGCTGCCTGGACACCCTCCTTCACCTGCGCGTCATCCCGCATCACCAAGGCAGGTCTGTCCTCGGAGCAGCCGGCTTCCGTGTCCTCCAGCCACAGATAGCTTCCCCGCTTTGCACTTACTGTGTACACCAGTGGTTCCCAAACGCTCTCCGTAAAGAGCCACATAATAACTATTTAGGCTTCATGGGTCAGATACAGTTCTCTGCCGTATAGTCGTCTTTTTCTCTTTCTGCTGCACAGCACCCTGAGGGGAGGCTTTGCAGGAGGGGAGCTTTGCGTATTGGGTCGGCCCGGTGGGGTGGGGGGCACAGAGGGGGAGTGCACTTGCCTTGCACACCCCCCACCCGCTCACATTCACACGTCCACGCACACTCAGCGCGCACGCACCATCCACGGGATGCCAGGGCACAGCACACAGCATCCTCACCCCAGGCTCTGTTCCTCCTGTCTGCCTCTTCTTCTGCAGCCCTTTAAAAACGTGCACATTATTCTTAGCTTGCAGGTGGTGTGAAAAGAGACCCCAGGCCAGATTTGGTTCTCAGGCTGTGGCTTGCTGACCCCTTGTCTAGACAGTACTGCTACTCGTGTGCTATGGACTTATTACATCAACATACAGTTTACTTTTCTTCTTCAAATTTGGTTAAAAAGAATTTCAGTCAAACAAAAAGGGCACAGGGTGGAAAGTGAGTCTTCTCCCCACACCCTGGAACCGGCAGCTCTCGATATGAGTGCCTGTCCGTTTAGCCTCGTCCTCGGTCTGACGGGCAGTGGACTCCATGTCCCACTGTCCCCAGCTCTTCTTCACTTTAGAATCACTTTGAAGATCATTCTACCTCTGCACCTGGAGATTTATTTATTTATTTTTTATTTATTTTGTTTATCCTCACCTGTGGACAATTTTGCATTTATCTTCAGATAGAGCGGGAGGGAGAGAGGGACAAAGAGAGAGAGAAACATCGATGTGAGAGAGACACATCGAGTGGCTGCCACCCACACAACCCCAACTAGGGACAAACTGCAACCGAGGTACGTGCCCTTAGTGGGAACGAACCCGGGACTACTCTGGTCCACGGGGCGACACTCCAACCGCTGAGCCATACCGGCCAGGGCTGCACCTGGAGATTTTTTTTTTTTTTTTAATGGCTGTGGAAAAGTCCACTGTAGGGAGAACCAGTTGATTCCACCTGTCTCCTCTTGATAGATAGCAAAGTTGTCCGGGTTTTTCTGCTGTTACCCAGTTTGCTTTATTAAGTATCCTTGTAGGTGTGTCTTTATGAGCACGTGTGAGCATAAGGTGTTTGTTTTGTTGGTCTGCTAGGGCTACCATAACCAACAGAAATGTGTTCCGCACGGTTCTGGAGGCTGGGAGTCGAAGGTCAAGGTGTTGGCAGGGTTGACTTCTGATAAGGACACCCGCCATATTGGTTTAGGGCCCACCCTATGAACCCTTTTAACTTAATTACCTCCTTAAGGGCCCTATCTCCAAGTAGAGTCACATCCTGAGGTACTGGGGGTTAGGACTTCATCGTATGACAAACACAATTTAGCCCATAAGAGTGTTGCAAGCTCCTTGAGGGCTGAGGCCCTGTTGCTACCCCTGCACCTCCCTGAAGCCTAACCTATCGAAAGTCCTCAGTACCCGATAGTGGGGTTGCTAATTGATTGGCTTATGTCAGTATTTTTCTTTTCTTTTTTAAATTTTATTTATTTGTATTAATTAACTTATTTTTGTTACAGATGTTTCTCCTTTTTCCCCACATTGACACCTTCCTCCCGATCCCCCCCCACAGCATTGTTGTCTATGTCCATTGGTTATGCATATATGCATGTAAGATCTTTAACTTACTCTTCCCTCTGTCAATATTTTTCTATGAAATATTGTCTTTGTTTCTCTTTCACCTCTAACCTTATTTAGAGAGTTCCCCAAACTGAGCTAATTGGCCTTGCAGCATTTTATATTACAGAAAATCACATCTAAATGAGCAGTATAGCTAGTGGTGGAGTGATGGCTCCAGAGTCGGAAATCTCTCTTTCCCCCTTCACTCCTATCTCCAGACATCCCATCAGCAGAGTACGTTTGGAAAATATTGGCTATGAAAGCTGAGAGTGCTTTGGACTGGAAGGGCAACCGAGGTACATACCCTTGACTGGAATCGAACCTGCAACTCTTTGGTCTGCAGGCTGATACTCTAACCACTGAGCAAAACCGGCCAGGGCACAGAACATTTTAAACCTTAACAAGCCCACAATGATAGACTGTCATAAAGATATATGACTTAAGTTGTCATTATAGGGATCTGATTAGATTATTTTCAGAATGGCCTTTAAGACTCTATTGCTTCTGTCAAGCTCACTTTGGGCTGTGTGTGTGTGTGTGTGTGTGTGTGTGTGTGTAAAAGCCTGATTGAAATTAACTTTGTTATTTCTTCAGTGATATCTGCCATACTTGCTGAGCCAGCTGTACCCAGGATAATGTTATCTTTTCTTACAGTGGATTATTAACCCACACCTTCACACCCTCATCCATTTCAAACTTTCACTTACATGTGTTCACATCTTGGAAGAAAAGGCAAAATAAATCCAGCTTCTGACACGAGATCGGTGCTCTCCCACGTCGGTTCTGCAGGAGCATCCCGGGCTGGGTTATTTATGGTGCTGTGTGGGCTGCTCATCTTCATCCTTTCTGGAAGCAAGAGAGCAATACTGCATTGCAATTTAAAATGTATTCTCCAGTCTTTTAAAATAGTGACAGAAACTTGGACTCATTCAGATTTGACCAAGAGCCTGAGCCACAACTCCATATGTGAATGACCATCGATTCCCCCGTAAGGTTTCCATATATGTGCCTTGTGTGTAGACGGTGCACTCCAGTTAGGCAGAGGGTGGCTTGGGCTCTACCAAGATCTTAAAGCCAACAATGCAGAGGCTCTCTGCAGGCCAAGTAACAAAGGAATATAGGAGGTGGTCACAAGTATCACACTGATCTGCAGTCTGTTAAGTCATAAAGACTAAATTGGTGTATGAGGTAAACCAGATGGCTTAACTTGTCTTTTCTCACATTTCCCCCCAACCAGGTTTCCACTGTTTACTGCAGTGTATCAGATCTGCTATGAAGGCAAACCCGTGCAAGAGATGCTGTCTTGTCTCCAGAGCCATCCAGAGCATTTATAAAGTGGATCATGCAGCATGCCGGGCAAAGTTCTGCCTTTCCGATCAGTTTGTTGGGTTCAAATGGAAACTGGGACTTGGCAACAGGATGTTTGCTCGACTATAATCCCATCATGGAAGTGTATGAATTTTTGCAGGTTCGTTTTTGAATTTCGAGAGGCAGGTCATTGTCTAAGGTGTACTGGGCAACAACGAGACGCACATATGTGAGTGTGTGTTCATTTCTCATTCTGTGGATGTTTGCATGAACCAAAATTAAAAGTCCTTTTTTAAAATTACTTTTGAAACTTTCCCACTGTGGTAGCTTATATGATTGGGACTATCTCAGCTAAATTTTTAAAATCTGATTCATATGTCTTTTGAGGGAAGGATTTTTTTTCGCATTCTCTCGATGGCAAACTTTAACCAGCATTGACAACTTGGTAGATTGGAGGAGTCAGTGTATTCAAAGATCAACAGACCAACTTTTAAACACTATCTCAAAGCCAGCATAAGTAACGACTTTGATTGTGAGTTGATCTTGTTTTTAACAACTAGATCTTTTTTATTAGGAAATCCATGACGTCGCTTCCTCTCACTGCCGTTTTCTGTGTTCTGAGCCTCTTTTCTCTCCTTGAGCTGCCAGAATGTGCTTGTACAAAGGCTCAGCAGTGACGGAACACAGAAAACTCATCTGGCATTTCCCTGCGGTGACTGACGCATTCTTCTGATTAACAGCGCTTGTCTGATGATGTGGGTTAGGTAGCACTTTTGTGAAGACGTTTCCTTTAAGCTCCACAGATCCTCTGGGAGGGGGCTGCTGTTATTCCTCTTTTAAGATGCCGTCACTGCCTGGTCACCTGGTAAGGAGAGGGCAGAGCCAGGAGTCCAGTCCAGTGCTCCCCACCCCACCAAGGTGCCCTGGGACCTTCCCAGCTGTCTGATTTGCCCTCCAGTGTATTGGTTGTGGCAGGTGGCCATATGCAACCTTCCCTGAGGCTGTGGGGGGCTTCCTGCAGCTGAGGTTTGTGTGGGACCCTTCACTCCAACTTCACTTGGAGCCTCTTAGAAATGCAGGTTCCCAGGTCCCACTGCAGACTTCTGAAGTAGGGTTTGGTATCTGCGCTTTAACGCACCTTCCACGTGTTTCTGGTGTTCACTACGGTTTTAGAAGCTCTGCTTTAGAAAATTCATTTTAGAATGGCATTTCTCAAACTAGTGTCCTGGGATCCAGCGGTGGTTGGCTCTGGGTGTTCCCTGGCAAGGTCGAGTGAGCTGAGGGAGAGCTGATTCTTGAAGATGTAGAATGTATGTTAGTAGGTCAGTAGAACCTATTTATTCAACCTAGCCAGCCCCAAACACATTAAATTATGAAGTTTTTTTTGGCGGGGGGCAAGGAAACTTGCCCAAGTTTCTAGGGGACGCTGACCTTAGTGTAACTCAAGTATACCCTTCACACCCTGTACAAAATTAGGATGAATAGCTAGCTGTGGTGGTGTTCGTTGTCAGCTTTCACAGTGCAGGTCTGCCATGAAGCTGTGATGAAGCTTTAAGGTGCCACTGACGGGTGCCACTGAGTAGCTGTCAACTTCGCTGGAACGCACATTATGCGGAATAAGTGCTTTTAATTCTAGAGTTAGCATGGGAATTACTGTATCTTCTTCAATGAGATTGGTTTCAAGATAGCATTACCATGACCTTACACAGCACTTGATAAACTATTAAAGGGAACGTACGAATGTCACTTACATATCTACGGATTTTCAGTCACTTTGTGAGATTTTTGACTCAACTTTTTTATTTTCCACTTTGGGACTTTTTTCCTTTCTATATTGGAAATGATTGTAGAAGAGATTTTTGTGGGAATTTTTAAAACTCTATCCAATCCACAGACGTAGATGAAAGCACACAAAATGCTCCATGTTTTATTGATTTTAGTGCCACTATTAAGTCAATCAATTTTTGCTTGTCTCATGATTAATCTTTTTTAAAGTTTGTATATAGGTAACAAAGTGTTACTTTTTAAGATACATAAAGGGCTGTAAGCTAATTGTGGTGTCTATTAAGTAGGATAACCAGAGGTGAAGAATTCTGTCTTGTGTGTGTTTCTCATCTGCATTCAGCTTCCTGCTCTGGGTTTTGTACTTGAGAGTTTTTTCTTTACAGACACTCCCTTACCACTCCAAAGTCTGCTGACTGTACGTACCTCTTGAAAATATGATATTCTGCACATTAATGAAAAAGGCAAATTTTATAAGTTTGTGCTCTGCTAACTAGATATTTATTACTCTATGAGTTATCTATTTTTGTAATCACCTGTGGTCTGTCATCTCTTACTAATTATGGTAATAAAGAGGGAGACATCCAGAAGAGAAGCTTCATTTGTACTATTTCAGCCAACCTGTGAATGTAAAAACTACACTGTTGCCTTGCTACAACCCAACCTACTGTAATGTAAAACAGTCACCTGTCTTGAAATCCATCCTTGCAGGTAGAGTTGAGCTAAACTACTTCTGGTTTTTCATTAAACTGTTGAACTGTCACAAGGCCCCATGGCATTGGCCCAGGGGAGGCGGGGTGCCAGTGTGCAAAGGGTTTGTTTTGTAGTTTTTCCATTAATTCTAATCAAAGAGCCTTTTACTTACATGTATACTGTATTTGTTTACAGACTATAGGTGGATATAATTGATATAATTTAAAAGCTTGGTTTAATAAACATTTAACCCCCCCCCAAAGCAGTGCTACTGATCTGATCTTTTCTTAAACCAGTTAATATTTAGGCCAGCTCTGTTTTTTCTGTATTGTCCTGCATTAGTAATAATAAAAAGGCAATTTTTAAAAGGCTTCATCTCTAATTCCAGCCTGCAAACACATCTGTTTCCATTTTTCTGTGTTTCTTCCCATTGTTTGCTGATTTTAAATTTGGTGGGGTGACATTGGTTAATAAGATACAAGTTTTAAGCATACAGTTCTATAATACATCACCTGTACATTGCACTGTGTGCTCACCACCGAGTCCAGTCTCCTTCCATCACCATACATTTGGTCCCTTCCCAACCTCCCCACGCTGCTTCCCCTCCAGGAAGCGCCGTACCGTTGCCTGTGTTTATGAGTTTTGTTTATCTGTTTTGTTTGTTCATTTGTTGCTTTCAGTTTCATATCCCACATATGAATAAAATCATACAGTTCCTGTCTTTTCCTTCCGACTTAATTCACTTAACATGATACTCTCAAGATCCATCCATGTTGGCCCTGGCCGGGTGACTCTGTTGGAACATTGTCCTGCACACCAAAAGGCTGCCCGTTCAATTCCTGGTCAGGGCACATACCCAGGTTGCGGTTCGATCCACAGTCAGGGAGCGTACAGGAGGCAACCAGTCAGTGTTCTCTCTCACATCGATGTTTGTTTCTCTATCTCTCTCTCCCTTCCTTTCTCTCTGAAAATCAATAAAACATATCCTCCGGTGAGAATTTTAAAAAAATAAAAGATCTATCTGTGTTGTCACAAATGGCAATATTTCATCTTTTCTCATAGTTGAGTAGTATCCACTGTATATATGTACCATATATTCTTTATTCAGTCACCCATCGAAGGACACTCAGGTTGTTTCCATGTCTGGGCCTCTGACTATTGCACTGAACATAGACTTGTAGGATGGGGGCCTCCCAGTTCCAGCCAACCAGTGGACCATTGAACTTGAAATCCCCCCTGCCCTCCACCTTAAATACCTAGAAAAGCTAGAAATATATAACCAGTGTCTTTATATGTAGGGCTGTTCTCCCAAAAATGTGAATGAAATCCCCAGAAGCCCAAAACAAATAAGGAGCTGACTAATAGATTAAACGAATAAATCCATGTCCTGGCCGGTTTGGCTCAGCGGTTAGAGCATCGGCCTGTGGTCCAGAGAGACCCGGGTTCGGTTCCCACTAAGGGCCCGTACCTGGGTTGCAGTTTGTCCCCAGCCCTGGTTGGGTTGTACGGGTGGCAGCCACTCGATGTGTCCCTTTCACATCGATGTCTCTCTCCCTCTCCCTCCTGCTCTGTCTGAACAAAAAATGGAAAAACGTCCTTGGGTGAGGATAAATAAATAAATAAAAATAAACTAATAAATCCAAGAAATGTGAACTTCTCTATTTTCAAGAATTTAGAAGACTATCCTACCAGTTCCACTGCAAAAAGTAAAAATGTGTTATTCAAAACTACAACGTTGTTAAAGCAGCCATCTTACTAATAGTTGTGATAGTTGGTGGTGCCGAAAGTTCACATGGGCACAAAATGGGTCATGTACGTGAGATGTTTACAAGGAATGTTGAAACAAGAAACAATAGCATTAAACACACACACACACACAAATTCACTTTCTAGGCAAAAACCCTAGAAGACTTATAAAAAACAAGCAGGCCCTGGCCAGTTTTCTCAGTGGTTAGAGCATCAGCTCACAGACCAATGAGTCGCGGGTTCGATTCCGGTCAAAGGCACGCACCTTGATTGAGGTTCATCTCCGGCTCTGGTCAGGTCATGTGGGAAGCAACCAGTTGATGTGTCTGGATCACATCGATATTTCTCTCTGTCTCTCTTCCTCCCTCTCATTCTATCTAATGGTAAATGGAAAAAGTATACTTAGGTGAGGAATTAAAAAAAAACAAGCTGCCCTGGCCGGTTTGGTTCAGCGGTTAGAGCGTCGGCCTGCGGTCCAGGGAGACCCAGGAGACCCAGGTTCAGTTCCCGCTAAGGGCATGTACCTCGGTTGCAGTTTGTCCCCGGCCCTGGTCGGTTGTGTGGGTGGCAGCCACTCGATGTGTTCCTTTCACGTCGATGTTTCTCTCTCTCTCTCTGTTCCTCTCTCTCCCTCCCACTCTACCTGAACAAAAAATGGAAAAATGTCCTTGGGTGAGGATACAAAAAACAAAAAAACAAGCTGACTTGGGGTCAGATGCTTGTCTGAGGAAATTCCTGGTTCCAGTGAGCTATGACCCTCCTGTCCACTAGGGGTCACTCTTTTCCTTAGGCAGTTGGCAGCCTGCAAAAAGTAACATTGTTCCTGTGACTTTTGGGTCAAGTTTTTAGAACACATTTTTTAGGAAGAAAGCTGAGGTTTCGCTTCACAATTGTCAAGTGTTCATTTGGACTTTGTGGCTCAACACGGACCACACATTTTGATGTACAGCAATTTTACTTACACTCTGCCCTCTGTCCACTTAGACATCTGATTGGATCTTGTTGCTTCTGTATCTTTTTTCCTGCCTTGATATCTGACACCCACTTCTGTCTGTCTTTGCTGAACTTCTGTCTTCTCGCCCTCATTCTGACACTGAAGTTCCCAGGAAAGCAAAACTCGTGCTGCCTGCTCTTTGCTCTCAGGAAAGACTCGGAACATACCTGGGAAACACTTCTCAAGGATGGACCTTTCATGCCTTAAAGAAGTTTCAGCAAAGAGGGTGGTAGACATGGAAAAGAAAAATCCTTTCCTCTTGTTTTCCTGTCCATTATCTTTGAAGATAGATTTGTCTATCTCCGAATTTTTACTTAGAGGCCATTTTTATCATGAAGCTAAGGAAATTTAAGCTTCTAAACCCTTACTTATACAAGACCCTTCCTAGGCCCTGTATCTACCTTTGTTTTTTTCAATTCATAGTCTTTTTCTTAAAGAGAGTTCCTTGTCCTCCGGTTGCAAAAGCTTTTGGCCCCTTAACATGAGTTTGCACTTAGTTTCAGGATTTGGGGGTCAGATAGGGATTCAAATTTTGAACGTGTGTGGCTTTGGGGAAGTTACTTAATCTCTCTAGGCTTCAATTTTCTTATTTATAAATAGTGTCAGGTTTCATGAGAAGTCAGGAAACAAGTAATTTGCTTTTCACAGTTCTCTGAACACATTAGGGAACTTCAAGATGGAAAGTACCAGGGGAGAAAAAGATAATCCATATTTGGTTTGAACTGCTTGGGGCCCGCAAAGGGAGAGATCCAGGAGGCAAGAGAACATTCTGGTCTGCAGATCAGAAGGGAATGAGGGGCAAAGGTGTTGTCTGGGTGAAGCAGGTAAGGAGGCAGAGCGGAGTGAAGGAGGTGACTGTGAGGTAGGAGGGAAGGGGGAGTTCAGGGCCCAGTAACAGCTAAGTAAGATAAGACTGAAGTGTCCGGGGTGAGGTCTGGAGAGAAGCTCACATTTCATTTTGGGGGGAGGGGGATTTATAAATCTTGTGCCTATTCCTTAGCTTTACTTATTGAGGGCTCTGTCCTCATGTTTTTTTGGTTTTTTTTATCCTCACCCGAGGACATTTTTCCATTTTTTGCCCAGGTAGAGTGGGAGGGAGAGAGAGGAACAGAGAGAGAGAGAGAAACATCAATGTGAAAGGAATACATCAAGTGGCTGCCACCCGAATGACCGACCAGGGCCGGGGACAAACTGCAACCGAGGTACGTGCCCTTAGCGGGAACCGAACCCGGGTCTCTCTGGACCGCAGGCCGACGCTCTAACCGCTGAGCCAAACCGGCCAGGGCTCTTGTTTTTTTCAGCTTTATTGGGGCATAATTGGCAAATGAAAATTGCATATAAGATGTAAACACGATGATTTGATATATGTACATATTGTGAAATGATTACCACGAGCTAATTAACATATTCATGACTTGTATTTACCTTTTTATTGTGGTAGTGGAGGTAAGGACTTTTAGGACTTACTCTTTTAGCAAATTTCAAGTATAAAATAGTACCATTATTTTAACTATAGTCACCAGGATGTACATTAGGTCCCCAGAACTTACTCATCTTATAAATGAGAGTTTGTTTCCATTGACCAATATCTTTTCATTTCTTCCCACACCTCAGCTTCTGGCAATCACCACTCTGCTCTGATTCTATCAGTTCAACTTGTTTAGATTCCACATATAAGTGAGATCATACAGTATTTGTCTTTGTCTGGCTTATTTCACTTAGCATAATGTCTTTTAGGTTCATTCATGTTTTCACAAATCGCATGATTTCCTTTTTTGTGGCTGAGTAATATTCCAGTGTGTATGTATGTGTGTGTGTGTGTGTGTGTATTACATTTTATTTATACATTCATTCATTGATGAACACATAGGCTTCCATACCTTGGCTGTTGTGAATAATGCTGCAATGAACATTGGAGTGCAGATATCTCTTTGAGATAGTGATTTCATTTCCTTTGGAGATTTACCCAGAAGGGGGATTGTTGGATCATATGGTAATTATAGTTTTAATTTTTTGAAGAAACTCCATGCTGTTTTTTATAGCAGTTCTTCCACTTTACATTCCCACCAACAATATGCAAGGGTTCCCTTTTCTTCACATCCTTGCCAACACTTGTTAAATATTGTCTTTTTATAATAGCCATCCTAACAGGTGTGAAGTGATAGTTCACTGTGATTTTGATGGTCATTTCGCTGATGATTAGTGATATTGAGCATCTTTTCGTGCACTTTTTGGGCCCCGTACTCATTTGATTCTGTGCCCACAAAAGCCAGAAAGCCATTGATGGTCTGTTTAAAAATCAGTTGTTGCCCTGGCCGGTTTGGCTCAGCGGTTAGAGCGTCCGCCTGCGGTCCGGAAAGACCCGGGTTCGGTTCCCGCTAAGGGCATGTACCTCGGTTGCAGTTTGTCCCCGGCCCTGGTTGGTCGTGCGGGTGGCAGCCACTCGATGTGTCCCTTCACGTCGATGTTTCTCTCTCTCTCTCCCTTCCTCTCTCTCCCTCCCACTCTGTACAAAAAATGGAAAAATGTCCTCGGGTGAGGATAAAAAAAAAAAAAAAATCAGTTGTTGTTCCCTGGCCAGTTTTGCTCAGTGGTTAGAGCATCGGC